CCCCAAAACCCCAAAACCCCAAAACCCCATAATGCTACAATCGTCAAAGTAGATATGATTAGATGTAGTAATTAATCAATAAAGCAGAGATAATTTATAAAAAGTTTAATTAGTTCATTTCTCTTATTATAAGTTAATATCATATTATAAACTTACAGATGGAATAAATTGCACTGGTTGAAAACTAGACTAATACCACATATTAAAGATAAGTTCAAGAGCGTGAATCAGATGACACGTACGCTGAAATCGTTTAGAAATACAAGAAGTCAAAAATGGTACCTTGGAGAAAGTTTGTTGAGACTCCAAGTTTTATGAAACTTGTTGGATAACTTACGAATGAAGATGTCATAGATCTTGCTTGTGGTGAAGGATTCTATACTAGAAAATTGAGATAAATTACTACTGGCAAAGTCTTTGGACTTGATTATTGCTAAAATTTTATAAAAATGGCAATATGGTAGCAAGGTGCTGCTAATGATATTGATTTCAGATAAGTAGACTGCTCTCTTCCAATCACAAATATACCATATCAGTTTGATTTAGTCACCCCTACATTTCTATTATAAAATGCTCAGTCTGAGGAAAAGTTTGAATAGATGGTGCAAAACATATGGAATTTATGCAAACCAGGAGGACGGGTTTGCGGTTTGAATGGCAGTCCTTTCATTCCTAGAGAATAATTTGACAAGGATGAGAAATATGGTTAAGTTTTGTCATCAAATTCTGATTCCTACTATAAGAATAATGCCTCAGAATACTCTGTCAGATTATTTGATAAAGTTGCTGATTTAGATATTTCACTCAAGGTTATGTGGTTTTCAGGGGAATACTATGAGTAAATTTTCAAAAAAGTCGGCTTTCAAAACTTTAGATGGGTATAGATGGAATTATTTGAAAATACTGACGATATTGAGTACTGGAAAGATTTCCTTACAAATGGCCTTATCTTAATGTTTGAAGCATTTAAACCCTTAATAATGAATTGAGATAATCTATTTAATA